TTACGAATTCGCTCTGTAAGAAATTTCCGCAAACTTAGAAGAAAACAAAATTACAAAATAAATGCAGTAAGGGTGGCTTACCCATATCAAGAGCGGTTCGAAACCCTCCATCAAGTGGTTTCATCTCGAACCATTTCTCCTCAGAATCCGGAACTTGGAGTTTATCTGGACGATCCAGTGCGTCCCCTTCAGCTATCACATTCTTCTGCTTATCTTCTTTCTTGTCCTCCGATCGAGTGAAACGATGTAGAAAATTTGAAAAAGTTGTTGTATCTTTTCTCTTCGGCTTATGTTCTTCAAGCGACTTTCGATTCCATTTCTTATCCTTCTCGCGATCGTTATCCTCTATTTCTATCTCGATCGGGGGGATTGAAGCTGTCATTGGTGTAGAGAATGACAATCGTCCACCACCGGCACTTCCCACATCACCTTCCTCAGGTACAAATGCTCGTGTTTCACTTCCCGGTGACTTGCTTGTCTCCCTCGACATAACGTTAAATGAGAGATCACTCCTGGAAGTTCACTACAAAGATATCCACTAATATATAAGATAAAAGACCTAATTGGGAACTGCACTAAATCATTGACGACAAAGTCAAATCAACGTAAGAGAATGGGAAAGATACTGCAAGCTTCCGACAAAATTGACGGGAAGGTTTTCCGTAAGCAGTACCTTGCCGTAATCTGCAGCGTCGTCACGTCTCTTGCATTTTAAAACACGAGAAAGTTATTCCAAAACGTTTCAGAAATTTCAAGATTTGTGAAAGCGTTCACTCTTTTTCGCTATTTATAATCATTCTAGAATAAATTTAACGCATCAGTTTCCGTGCTCACTGGTAGCTGATTTTTTTGAATATCTACATTTAGCCTTTTCCTTTTTGGGACTTTACTTTTGTATGTATTGGCTTGCATTGGAGAGGCATATCTCGGTGCTACATCAAGCTTACTTAACTTGCTTTTTAGAAGAGTCGGTCGTCGTTTATCGTCCCTTTATAAGGCTTGGATTGTTGCTAGCGAATCCCTTATAAATTCTGGAAAAGTAATTTGTACTTGAAATCCTATGAGTTCCTACTTCATCGAATAAAATGGTTAGATTGCTTTAGTATATTGTGATTTTTCCCGTACAATATTATCTCCTATCGCTTATCTCGCAGTCACCATAATCCGAAGACAAAGCCAAGGCTTTTCTATAGCCAAAGTATCACTTCTCACCTCCACTTCATCATTGCTTCTTTCCTTCGAGCTTTGCCGCGAATTATCCTTATTTACTGATCTTTTGATAGGTTTAGCTGACTGACTAGCAGCCAGCTGTAGTGCATAGTCAATAATGGCGGACACTTCGGAGTTGTTGTTGACCCTTGACCACATTAAGTATAGAAAACCCGGTGATGGTCGATCCCCTATCGGTCGCTTGATGTTGTACAGGTATTGTGATTGTTCTTTTGCTATTCATAACTTATACAAAAACTTCAATTGCTCCATTTCCAGGGAGCATGTGGAATGGAGGGATAATGCTGGCCCCGAGATTCTATATGTGAAATTCATGCAAATCAAGGGTGGGACTGTTGAATAATTTTTTTTTCATGGAATTGAAATACTCTCTTGCAGGTCAACGCGTATCTCCTCCCCAAAAGTCAAAAGTGCAACTACAGCTAGTACTTCAAAATGATGATCAAGCTACTTTTGTATTTCTGAACCCCGATTTGGATAAAGAGGGCTTGACCAAGGAAAGGGATCTCCTCAAGGAGACTCTTCAACAGGCCTTGATAGCTCATCGTCAAAGAGTCAATCAGGTCAGTCATCAATGAAACTTGAACTTTAAGTGTTTTTTCTTGTTCTTCTGTTTTCCTTTTTTTTGTCATGAGAACTTTCGTCTCCTCACGCATAAAAGAATGCATACTTGTGACAGAAGATCAAAATTGTTGTACTTAATGGAGCACTCACAAGTTCCTCGCTCATTCAGCTGGCTGCATCTAACGAAAAAGACGTCAAGCAGTCAGAACTGAAAGAAAAGCAGCGGATATTGGGGGAGAACAAACAGTTAGACCAGCTTTACACCCATCTTGTCGCTTCAAAACTTATAAGTGCTCAAGAATTTTGGACAGATTACTATCAGTCGGCAAGTTTCCTTAATGTTTTGTACTCCAATCTCTCTTTTTCGTGCATTTTTTAATTTTTTTATTATGACTTTTAAGTCCGGTACCGTAGAAGACAAAGCTGGCATAAGTGGCGCTTTTCTGACAAATATCGTGCAGCAAGAAGGAACAAACGGCATCAAATTGAATCTTAACACAGAGATTATACAAGCAGTTTTCAACACTTATCCCGCTGGTAGAGATTTT